ATTATGGGGTTGTATAGGAGGCACTGAGTCAGGTATGGGGCCTCCAGAGCCAGCCTGATCTCATTTTGAAACCTGGCCTGGACACCTGTTAGCTTGTGACTTTGAAGAAGCTGCCTAACCTCTCTGAGCCTCAGTTCCTCCCTGGGTAACAATCGTATGGAACTTGTAAGATACTGATGCGAGTGAGAGATGCAAAGGCCTAACCCATAGCTGGTGAGTTAATGGTATTACTGGTGTCCATACTCGACACTGGGGGAGGCGGAATTCAACAAAAGGTGGGGCAGCAATTAAGCTGGGTCAGGAGGAACGGCCCACCGGGCTCACCAGGGAAAGAGGGCACCTGGGAGAGGTGGTGGGGGGTGAACGGAGCAAAGGCACAAGCAAGTCCCCATCACCATCACCTGGCAGGGCTGGGGACCCCGGGGTTGCCTGCACAGGCAAGCGCTCCTCCAAGGGCAAACGTTCAGGAAGATGGAAGACGATCCGTCTCCTGGCCACAACACTAAGTAACACTACTCACAGAATGAGAAAGTTAGTCCCTTTTCAATTTTCTTTCAAGCCTCTGACTTGAGGGGAAAACTTTCGACTTCTAAGACCTAATAGCTGTGATCAGTCCTCAGGGTGGCTAAGGTCTGCAGGCAACCATAACCAGCAAGAATTTTGTCACATTGTTATGTTTTGTTTTCATGATTACCTTCTATTTTGAGTAAGAGGCTTTCTGCTGGCACCGGTGATAAAATTTTTCCTTGTAAGACACATTTAAAAACTAGTCACTTGGGCAGCCTGGGTGGCTCAGCGGTTTAGTGCCGCCTTCAGCCCAGGGCATGATCCTGGGGACCTGGGATCAAGTCCCACATCAAGCTCCCTGCATGGAGCCTGCCTCTCCCTCTGCCTGTGTCTCTGTGTCTCTCGTGAATACATAAATAAAATCTTAAAAAACAAAAAACAATCACTTAGGGCAGCCCGGGAGGCTCTGTGGTTCAGCGCTGCCTTCAGCCCAGGGCCTGATCCTGGGGTCTCGGGATCAAGTACCACGTCGGGCTCCCTGCATGGGGCTGCTTCTCCCTCTGCCTGTGTCTCTGCCTCTCTCTCTGTCTCTCATGAATAAATAAAATCTTTAAAAAAAGAACAACAACTAGTCACTTAGAGGAAAATATGAGGAAATGAAGGTAGAAGGTGAGATGCAGAAAGGGTAAAAATCATCTGTACTCAAGCTGTACTCAAATGACTGATTTTCAGGAAATGCTGCTGAGGTCACAAGGGAGTCAACCAAATTCTAAGCCAGGGAGGGCTGAGGCCAAATCCGGGTCTTGGAGAGACAACTATGCTTGAAGGGAGAAGCCAGGTGTTGGGGCCGGGTCAGCAGAGCCAATCCAGGTAGCAGATAAGGCAGGTCTGCAGAAGGACTGGAGGGGAGTCACTGGGCATAGATAGGCTGCCATCTGTGACCTGCTGGGTGGTGGCGAGGGAGAGGCAGCCTATATATTGGTTCTGTGAGCAGTAAATGTGTCTAGGTCAGTGTCTGTTGCTCAGATCGGGATGTTTCCATCAGCTCCCATCAGACTGGGAGCCTCTTGGGGGCAATGTTGCCACCTCCTCCCTCTTCCCCAATTTCTCAGAGGGCCTGGACCCTGTATGGCCGACCCAGTAGGGTGACCCAGCTGCATGGCTCGCCAGTTGACAAATCAAGAGCTCAGACCAGGGTGGCCAACCGCCCCGGTTAGCCTATGACTGAGGGGTTTCCCAGGACATGAGACTGGAAGGAGCTGGTCAGCCCACCTCAGATGGTCCTTGCAGGGCGGCAGCCTTGGGTTAGAACCTGCTGGGCTGGAGATGCTGCCTATGGGGCCAAAGGGAGAAGCCTACAGGCTGCAGGGGCCCCAGGCCGCAGTAATCATCAGTTCATGTTTATATGAACAGCACCATCCACCTCAAAGCTGGTCCCCAAACTTCTTGAAAAGGCTCAGTGACCTTAGTCCTTTTCAAGAAGATATATTTCACCCTGATTAGAAACCTCCTGGCCCCACCCTCAATCTGGCTCCTGTTCAAGTTTCAGAGTTCAAAGGCCTCAAAGATGTCACTTGCCAGGCTTGCCAGCTGTTCTCAAAGCAAAGTCTCTGACGCTGACATTTAGGGTCCCAAGTGACTAATTCCACCCCATTCTCCAACCAGAAGTTCTCTCATTCTCTGGAGCACTCCTCCTGTTCCAGCCAATATGGCCTGTGCAGGGTTCCATGCCTGTCCTCGCTCCTTCCCGCTCTGTCCTCTCCTCTTCTCTTCCATCTGCCTGGAGGGCTCCCTTCACACATCTTCCTGTGCTTGAACTCCACCCCAACTTTAAACTTTGGCTCAAGGCATCTCCAGGAAGCCTCTCCATATGTCCCAGGCAGAAGATACTCCTGGTTTCTCTGATCTTCCTCCAAAGCCTAACTATACCTGTGACAGCTGGCCAGGCTTTCTACCTTGCACTGAGCTAGCCTGGAAATCGCCAGAAGGCAGGGTCCACAACAGATTTGTTTTTGGCCTCCCACCTCCTGCCCCCGTACTCAGGAGTCAGTATATAGAATTAACACCTAAATGATTAAACCCACAATGCCTGATTGGGAGAAGCTGCAACTGCCTCTCCATGAGTCACCTGGGGACATCAAGGAGGGCGTCTCGAGAAGCTCACTCACTCAGCCAACATCTCTGGACCCCTAAGCGGTAGACTAGGTGAATAAGACCCTCACTGCCCAGGAGAGAGGCTGCTGGGCCTGCCCAACATTTTTGTAATGATCACCATGTAGCACAGGGCCAAGAAGAGAAGGAAGGACAAGAAGCTCATGGAAGGTGTGGCCCAACTAGGATCATGAAAGCTTCTCAGAATATGGAATACCTGGGTCGAGACATAAGAATGAAGACAGTGTGGCCACCGAAGACTGAAGATGTGTCCCTATGGCCATCTCAGAAGACATAGCAAAGGGTGTGGGAGTCAAGGCCCACAGTCCATCTCTGTGCCTCCATTCCCTGGCCGTGTGCTCACCTGCCTCAGTTTCTGCATCAGCACAGCAGGACTGCTGGGAGGATTTGTGTGGATAATGGATGGGAAGCGTTCAGGACATAGTCAAGCGCTCCCCAAACATGGGGGATTACAGTTGTCATTATTACCCACACAGCTCACGGGAGCCCAGAGGATTCCAGGCAGCCAGCTCTCCAAGCTCAGGCTGAGCTGGACTATATAATCCTGTCCCACAATTAGCTCCAACCCGGAGGGAGGAAAAACGGGCTGCCACTGAGCCTCCCTGTTGCCAGGTGGACTGCCCGGGTCAGGCTGCAGGATTCTGAAGGAGCAGAGTCAGGTCTAAGAGGCTGAGTGGTGAGCGGCCGGGGGTTCAAGAGGGAAGGAAGTTGGATGTAGGCAGAGGAAGACAGCAACTGAGGGTGTGGCTGAGGACAGGCCTAGGCAGAGGAATGAGACGATAAACAAAGAGCAAGAGAACATTCTCCCTCTTCCTGCCCACCCTCCTGAGTTGTTCCAGAGAATCAGTGAAATAGCTTCCAGGGATGGATGCAGTGGGCTCCAACATTTTCAGGCCCCGGGGGCTCTTCAGGGCCAGTTAGATGTTTAAAAGAGTATCTGAAAGCCACTCCGTTAGGGGAAGGAACCAACCATGCACCGGAAACCCTTGAGGTGTGCAAATAGCCACGTCACTTCTCCCCAGGAAGGAGGTGGGGTGGAGCAAGCTGAGATTAAGGCCCTGGCCCCAGCACCCAGGCTCCCAGGGGGACACACAGCTGTCTGGGAGAAATTGAGGGCTGTCTGTGGTGCCTGGGAGCACAGGTTCTTTATAGCCACACCGGCCTTCCTGCTATTCCTTAAACATTACCAGCTTGTTCACCACTCCAGGCTTTTGCTTGTACTGTTTCCAGACTGCACAGTACTGGCTCCATCATACCATTCAGGGCTCCTCTCAAGTACCACCTCCTCCTAGAAGCTTTCCCAGATCACCTACTCTAAACTAGTTCACTCCCTACAACCTACTGTGCTCTTCCTCCACATACCCACACAGCTCAATCCCTCATCTTTTCAAATCTTTGCTTCTTTGTTCAGAAGTCACTCCTTCACAGTCTTCTCTGATCACTGTCCCCCCAGCTCTCATCCTTCCTCCCTGCTTTCCTCTTTGACATCCCAGATGTTTAATTGTTTTTTTTAAATATTTTATTTATTTATGCATGAGAGACAGAGAGAGAGAGAGAGAGAGAAAGAGGGAGAGAGAGGCAGAGACACAGGCAGAGGGAGAAGCAGGCTCCATGCAGGGAGCCCGATGTGGGACTCGATCCTGGGTCTCCAGGATCCCAACCTGGGCTGAAGGGTTCACTAAACCGCTGAGCCACTGGGGCTGCCCCACCAGATGTTTAATTGTTAACTGTCCTTCTCCTCCTGCTGGAATGTCAGCTCCGAGAGGGCAGGGGATTATTGTCATATTTGTTCACTACTGTATTGTCAGCATTTAGAAAAGTGCTTGGCACATGATAGGGGTTCAACCAATGTTTGATGAGAAAATGAGTAAGTACAGGAATGTTTAAGAGCAGAGACTCTGGTCAGACTCTATGACATCTCATCCCAGCTCTTCCACTTACTGTGTGATCTTGGACCATACACTTGACTCCTCTGAGACTCGATTTAATCAGTAAAAGGAGAATAACAATAGAGTCTGTCTTATAGGATTACTGGAGGATTAAATAAGATCATGCATGTAAAGAGGTAAAAACCCCGCCTGGCCCACAATGAGCAGTCGGGGCTAAGCTGGCAGCCATCACAGCCTTCATTTGCTAGCATCTCTTGCTTGCTTATTTGCTCACTTGTTTATCACGTGTTTCCGCTCTGGTGTCAGCTCCAGCCTGCCTTACTACCATGCCCTCAGTTTCTGGCAAGGTGTGGGAAGAGAAAATCAGGCCTCCTCTCAAATCAAGGAGTGTGGAACTGGGAGACACAGCTCCAGCTGCAGTAGGAGCCTCACCGATCTGCTTCTCCAGGGCGGCTGCCTCACAGACGGTGGCCCGGGGCAGGATCCCAGGGTCGGTGAAACTTGTCTGCAGCAGGCAGCTCATGACGAAGAAGAAGAGGATGGCAGCGATGATGGGGATGGCGAGAGTCAGCTGGCGGGCCAGGAAGGGACAGCTAGAGAGAGAGAAAGAGAGAGGGGTAAAGATGAGCAGACACCCAGAAGGCCATGTGGGGCACAGGGCTACAGCACTAGGCAGGCGACTGAGCCCAGAAACACCACCGCATTCTCTCTAGGAGAACCTCTCCCAGAGGAAGAGGGGCTCAGCTCCTAGGCAGGTGCAGCCACTCCCCCAGGAGTGCCCCCAGGAGAGCAGACATCACTAATTGACCCTTGCACTTTCCCTGTGAGCCAATAGCAGCCATAATCAACAGATCCCAGCACTTTTTTTTTTTTTTTTTAATGAGCTAAGGAGAGGGCTCTAGATCCCAGCATTCTTCACCCCTGCTCATAGCTGCAGCCTCAGAATCCTGAACACAAAGCTTCAGGCAGCCACTACCAATGAATTGGGTACTCACTTGAGTCGACCATCATGACAATGTTCACTCATTCACTCACTCACTCCACAAATATTTAGTGAGGGCTTACATACGCCAGGCAACACCTTCACCAAACAGAGTGAATAAGAGTGTTGTTCCCCACCCGCCACGAGGCTCTGGTCTAGTTGGGGAAAAAAAAATATGTATACAGAGGGGTGCCACATAGGATTGTGTGTGGTAACACAGGAAAGAGGACAAGAGAACTGTCAGGATAGTCTGGCTGAAGGAGATAATGCCTAAGCTAAAATCTAAAGAACGAGTAGGGTCAGCCAGGTGAAGGGGGTTAGGGGAAAGACCATGGTCCAGGCACTGCCACGGTCACCCAGGGCCAGCATCCCAAGTCTGTGGTTTCAGGTCCCTAGTTGGTTTGGAGAAGAGTCTGTGCACAGGCTGACTCTGAGTCCTGCCCACAGGATTAACCACTGTCCTCTGCTGCCTTCCCTCCCAGAGCTAGAGTGGCACCTGATGGGGTAAGGAGCTGCTACTTGGGAAATGATAGGCTGCTGGGAGGCCAGAATCGGCCAAGGAGCTGGCACAGTTACAGAAAGCAAACCTGTGGACATCTACACGCTGTTTCCAGAGCTTCAACTGCCAGAGGCTCTGGCCTCCGAGAGGCCCTTCCCTTGAAGAGCAGAGACTGCCACGACCAAGGGCTTCAAATGAACCACACACTCTGCTCCAAACACCTCAGTGGTTCCTGGGTCCAAGCCTCAACAAAGCTGGGCCCTCTGTGTCCCTCACAGGACAATCAATCAGGTCATGTATAACCAGACTCTGGGGGATGGAGACTTGAAGTCTGAGACTCATGGAGCCCTCAGACACACTAAGTCCTAGCTCCCTGATTTTACAGAGGCAGACTCTGAGGCCCCACCCAAGGTCACCTAGCCAGCCAACGACAGGACCCGGGCCTCTGGGCCCTTAGCAAATACTCCTTACATTCATTCAACAAATATTTACTATATTGAGTGCCTATTACACACCAGGCCCTTTTCTAAGCACTGAAGACACAACAGTAAGAATGAAGTCCTGCCCTGGTGAAGAGACAGGCAACAAACTAGCAGAAAATATACACATAGTATGTTCGGATGGTGGCAAGTGCTTCCAGAGAGCGAGTAGTCAGAGAAGAGGGACAGAAGGGAGGGGAGTGGTTTGGTATTGTTATAGGGACACTCAGGGAAGGAGGGAAGAGTGAGGGAGTGAACCATGAGACTACCTGAACGAAGGGTATTCCAATCTGTGCAAAGGCCCTGAGGCAGGAATGTGCAAGGAGGCCAATGTGCCTGGAGGAGGATGCATGGGGAGGTGGGGGGGAAGTGGAAGGAGATGGACATAGAGGAAGCCCATTATCAGGGCTCTGGCTCTTATTCGGGAGAGCCAGGGAGGATCCCAGAGGGGACGGGGATCTGACTTAGAATTAAAGGGGCGCTTTGGCCTCCGTGTGGGGTGGGAAGTGGGGCAGAAGCCACCCTGCTGACAGCCCTGTGCAATAACCCATGAAACCAAACAATGAAGCAAAACCATTCTCAGCAAGAAAAGCCCTAGAAAGCCACTCTATGGTTCCCCAGAACAATGGGAGAGTGTGAGCTCGCTCACTCTCCAGGCTTCCCCAGCGGTGGCCGCTACTGAGGTTTCACCCCAGTTCAGACCCAGGGCTACGCTCAGCCCAAACCCAAACCCTCCTGCCAACCCCACCAGCCCAAGTGAGGAAGGGCACAGACAAAGCGAGATGATTCACATCCTCCCCAAGCCCAGAAGTCCTCCTCTCTCCCTTCTCTGGGGGACAAATCTGGCACCGGTCAAGATACCCCTACAGCCCAGGGGAGATACTGCTTTTGAATGGACTGAACCCCATGCTACAGGGTTGCGGGGGTCAACTTCCTCTTGCCCGGGGTGCAGCCCTAGAGGTACTGGAAAAGGAACTTTCAAAACACTCATGCGGGGCAGCCCAGCGAGATGGATCTGAAACTCTGCCCAGGGAACATGCCGGAGGCTGGGGGCTACCCAGAGCTTCTGCTTGTCATATTACCCCAGATCTTTTTATCCATCCTGACTCAGAAAGGAAGGGGGAAAGGGAGAAGCTAATTTGTACCAAGTCCTCACCTTACTTCAAGGGGAAACCCAAGGTTGCAGATACATGATCTGGCAGCTGGAAAGGGTCCCTGGGGGTGGTGTCTCTGTGGCAGCCTTAGCATGGCCACAGGCCCTTAGCAAGTGCTTTATGGTGAAGACAAGAGCTAAAAGCAGCATCCAGCATCCAGGGCTTGTTCCTGGCTAAAAGCTTACATACATGACCTTGTGCCACCATCACGACAACCTATTATAAACCCCATTTTATAGATGAGAGCACTGGGGCTCCAAGGTGAAGGGACCGGCCCCGAGGTCACGCAGTATGGCAGCGGTGCGTGGTGCACCTGGCATGGGAAGCAGGTCTGCTGGCTCCAGAGATGGAGTCGTTCACCACACTGGCCAGTTAAGGAAGACCACAAAGAATGGGGAGAACCAGGAGGGGAAATGAGAGCGTGTGTGCAAAGAATCACACAGCAGATGGCTCAAGCTACAGACCAAGTTTTCCAAGTTGGAAAACTTCCGATACAAAAACGTGACCCTGGGAAATGACAGGCATCCCCCACCCCCGCAAACCAGAAAACGGAGATACTGTGTGGGCCAATCCTGTGTCACTGGGGATCAAAAGCTCACGGGGGCAAATACGACCTGCCCCACCAAAGCACTCTGGACTCTCTGGAAAAATAACAAGGCGTTGCAGCTGTTCCTGCCATGGGACAGGCCAGAGGTATGCTCCAGAATGTTGAGAAGGCAAAGAAAACCTGGAGGTCAGAGGTGGGGGCGGGGGGCAGGGGCTTGGCAGAGTCTGAGGGAAGGCTGGGAAGTGTTAGGGAAGCTAAGGAAGGTGCTGGAGAGGGACTGGAGGCCTTAGAGGCCCAAAGCTGTTTGGGAAGATTACCTGAGGGTCTGGAGGGAGAAAGACTGAGGGGAAAGCAAGGCGGAAGGCTCTGAGAGTAGAGGGATAACAGGGGGCCCCAGAAGGGGCCCTGGGGGGACCAGAAGGCAGCTAGGAGATTTGTGATGGGGAGTATAAAGCCAAAGGACTCCGAAGAAATTCAGAAGTTGTCTGGAAGAGAGAAAGCAAAGATGCCTTGGGTGGGAAAGAGGCTGGGGGAAAGATGGTCCTGGGGAGAGGTGAGGGCAAGGAGGTCCCGGAAGCCCAAGCCAGGTTCCCAGAGGGCCCGGAGGATGGGAGGATGTAGAGGGACAAGGGAGGGTGGTGCTCCTGGCAGAGGTTGGCAAAGGCAGGGTGCCACGGAAAGGCAGGGAGGGATGGGGGGCGGCCGCAGAGGATGGGGTGATGGGTCCCCGTATGGATGGGGCATCCAGATGGGCGAGGGAGGATGGAGAGTGGGGGAGATGGCGGGGCGGGGGGGGGGTGCGGACCTAGGTGGAGAGGGCCGAGAGGGCAGTTGAGACACATGCAAGAGGACTGGGAAGGCCTCGGGGCAGATCCTGAGCAGAGCGCGGAGGACGCAGGCCAGGGAGGAGCAGGGAGGAGAGGATGCCTGGCAGGTGCAGAGAAGGGTGGAGCGCCCAGGGTCGTGGGAGAAGGCGGGGGGCCCAGAGGGAGACCAGAGGCGCTGAAGAGCCCACCCAGGATCGGGGCAGGTGGGGTGCGCGGCCAGGGCCGGAGGGGGCCGGAGGGGCAGGGGCGCCCGAGGGGGCGGGGCCGGGGGCGCCGCCGGACTCACTCGAAGACGAAGAAGAGGACGGTGGTGGTGAGGATGAGCAGCAACGTGAGTGCGAAGACGCCGCCGTGGCCGGCCAGCATGAGGCGGCCGCCGCAGTAGAAGCGGTTGCGGCCCGGGAACACCTCCCACTTGCGCTGCGGGCGGCGGCCGAGGCTCCCGCTGCCGCTGCCACTGCTGCTCCAGCGCGGCGCGGCGGCGGGCGGCGGGGGCCCGGGGCCCGGGCCGGGGGGCGCGGCGGGGCCGGGACGGCGCGCCCCAGGGGAGGCGGGCGGCGGGGCGGCCCCGGGGCTGATCTGCTGGTACTCGCAGTCCTTCATGCGGCCGGCCGCGGGCCTCGGCTCGGCGCCCCGCGAGCCGGCCGGGCCGCACCGGGACCGGGGCCGAGCAACGGAGGAGGCGGCGGAGGCGGCGGCGGCGGCGCGCGGCGCTCGCTCGCTGGGGGCGGCCCCGCCGCCGCCCCGCCCTGCCCCGCCCCCACCCGGCGCGGCCTCCCGCCGCAGCGCCCCCTCCGCCTGGGCCCGGGATGGCGCTCGCGCCCCGCCGCGGGGCCCGCTCCGCCGCGGGGTCCCGGCCGGTCCCTGCCCACCCTGAGCCCCGGCGGTCCCCTCTGCACGACGACGCGGCGGCAGATGCGCGCTCCCGGGAGCTTTCTGTTGTTTTGCAAGGAAACCATTTGTGGGGCGTCCCCTGTGTGCCGGGCACCTTGCCGAGCACCCAGATTCGAGTGGTGCACTTCTTGATTTACTTCTGACAATCTGTAATTCCAGGGCTGCCAGGCTTCAGCCATCTCTGAGGACTGACTGGATAGGTATTTGGGGCGAGGGGGTGGGGGTGGGGATACAATCTGTTGTGAACCCCAGGGGCCTGTTAGCTACTGTCTTGAAGTTCAAAGTGCCCAGTGGATGTGTGTGGCACATCTCTGGCCTCCCTCCCAGCTCTGTGATCTGAACCCAAACCAAGGGTTGTTTAGGTATCAGGGTTGATGTAGGGTTGATGCCACAGGGCCCCAGTATTTTTCAAGAATTTTAGGTGTATTCATTTTCCAAATTGCTGTGATTCAAATTATCACAAATTTAGTGGCTTAAAACAGCATACATTATCTGAGGTTCAGGTCAGGAGCCCCAGCCCTATCAGCTGAATCTTTTGCTCCAGGTCTCAGAAGGCTATAATCAAGGTTATCAGCAAGGCTGCATCCTCACCCAGAGACTCAACTGGGGAAGAATCCACATGCAAGTGCCTTCAGGTTTTCTTGGCAGAACTTATTTCCTTTGGACTGTATGGCTCAAGGCCTGGGGTTTTTGCTGGCTGTCAGCTGGTTCCAGAGGCATCCACAGCTCCTGGTGGTTATGTCATGTGGGCTTCTACAACATGGCTGTTTACTCACTCCATCAGGCCCACAAGGAGAGTCTCTAGCTGCAGTGTGCTAAGACAGAGTTTCACATAATGTAACTTACTATGTATGTAGTGGGAGAGATATCCCATCACTTTTGCCATGTTCTATAGGCTAGAAGAAAGTCAGAGGTCCCACTTGAACTCAAAACGAGGATCACACTTTTATGTGAAAACCAGGAGGCAGGGATCCCTGGGTGGCGCAGTGGTTTGGCGCCTGCCTTTGGCCCAGGGCGCGATCCTGGAGACCCGGGATCAAATCCCACATCGGGCTCCCGGTGCATGGAGCCTGCTTCTCCCTCTCCCTCTGCCTATGTCTCTGCCTCTCTCTCTCTCTATCTCTGTGACTATCATAAATAAATAACATTAAAAAAAAAAAAAGAAAACCAGGAGGCAGGAGTCACTGGGTGTTACCTTAGGTTCTGTCCACCACACTGGGGTTACTGGAAAACCTAAGAAAAAGTATAGGAAAAGAGAGAGCTAGAAACTAGGAGAGAGTAAGAAACAAAAATCAAAATACACAATGCAGGGAGGCCTGGGTGGCTCAGTCCATTGAGCATCTGATTCTTGGTTTCAGCTTAGGTCAGGATCTCAGGGTCATGAGATCAAGCCCCAGGTCAGGCTCCAAGCTCAGCATGGAGTCTGTTTGGGATTCTTTCTTTTCCTCTGCCCCTCCCCACTGGGTGCACTCTCTCTTGCTCTCTATCTTTAAAAAAATACATAATGCACCTAAGTGGGAAAAAAATACATAATATAGAGGGATAGAAAGGTAACAACAGTGACCTCAAGGATCACTAATTGTTACACATGCCAAAAGCTGCCTAACCATGCCCTTGATGCCAAAGATTTGGGGTTTGATGAGCCCCACTTTGGAGTGCACACCTACACACACTCTCTCTCAAATAAATAAATCTTTAAAAATAAATAAATTAATTAAAAGCAAAACTAAAATGCCAACAACAGACACAGCATTCTATGTCTGTGTCTATGTCTGTGTCAGCATTTGACTACCTCCTCACTCTAGCGTCAGGTTTATCTTTTTCTCTTATTTAAATAGTAGCTGCAACTTCCATGTCACCTATTCATTTCTTTTAACAATTTAACCTCTGTCTACATAACTCCCCTAAAACTTCTATCTTGGGGCACCTGGCTGGTTCAGTCGGAAGAGCATGCAACTCTTGGTCTTAGGGTTGTAACTTCAAGCCCCACATTGGGTGTAAAGATTACTTAAAAATAAAATCTTAAAAAAAACCCAAAACCTTTCTATCTTAAATGTCACTAGTGACCCATCTAGTGTGACATAAACTACTCATTCTCACCAACACCCACAGTTCCCAGAGAAGAGAGAAGCCTCTCTTCCAGATAGGTGTGACCAAGTGACTGAATTCTGGCTAATGGGATGTGAGTGGAAGTGACGAGCCAGCTCATAAAACTCCCAGGGGGGATCCCTGGGTGGCGCAGCGGTTTGGCACCTGCCTTTGGCCCAGGGCATGATCCTGGAGACCCGGGATCGAATCCCACGTCGGGCTCCCGGTGCATGGAGCCTGCTTCTCCCTCTGCCTGTGTCTCTGCCTCTTTCTCTGTATGACTATCGTAAATAAAAAAAAAAAAATTAAAAAAACTTCCAGGGGCTGATCTTTGCTCCCTTTGCCATCTGCTCGAAGAATGTAGGAGACTGAGAGTCAAACCAGATGTGCCCATTCCAAGTTTCAGGTCCCACTCCTTCTCAATCACCAGAAATACTTAACAAGACTGAATTCAACTGTTGTAATTCAGCAACATGCATAGTATTTTATTTGTAGCAAATAAGTCTGAGGGCTAGAAGAAATAAGAGATCTTGAAAGCTCTATGACGCTCTGACCATGACTTAGGCTGAGAGTTTAAAGACCCAAGCAAGCTTGTCATTTTTGTGCAAGGACTCTGATGCATTCAGAAGGATTCCTGTAATACCAGGTCCCCATAGTCATCATCACTGCCATAACAGTCAAGTGCAACAACCATTTGGGCCCCCAAGGCACTTGCTTGAATTGACACGTCATCACAAATAACCACAGGTGATGATTTGATTAATCATGATACCACAGCATGCCTTGGATTAGTTGCATTGTGTTTCTCATTGGCAAAGATCTCAGCACATTGAAACTCAATGACACAACCAAACCAGATCTCTAGTCCCATCTTTTGAGGTGTATTTCCTGGGACCCCCTCCTAGTACCATTTTCTGTATCAGTCAGGATCCAGCCAATGAGACAGAAACCATACCAGTCACTGGACAGAGGGAATTTAATATAAAGAATAGTTGGAAGAGTTAACTAGGTATAAAGCTGTTAACTAACTGAAAAGGTAAAAAGACAACTCTGAGATATCATGGAGGCAGCAACAGCAGGAGGCATCTATAACTCATAGGGCTAGGAGGACAAAGGGAAGCATTTGGAATTATGATAACTTGAACACTTAGAAGAGGGGCTCCACAGAGCTGAAACAGACCTCTTAAGTCTGGTGCTCGTGTCTTGTGTCTCTGAAAATAGAGGAGGGACCAACAGCGCTGAGGAAGGAGTACCAGCTGGCTGATGCTGGTGTCTCTGACTGGGACACCATGATGCTAGTTCTGCAATTGTTGAAAAACTCTGCAAAGTGGATTCAGCTGCTGTTATAAGAAGGAAAGGCTGCTGCCCAGGTGAAGGAGCTTTGCTAGAGTGACCTCACAGGAAAAGGAAGCAAATAGAGGAAGGGAGCCTCTCTTCCTCCTCTGGACTTACTATCTCCCTCTAGTGGTCCTTATTGGCAGAGCCAAGCACAGAGCCCGCTGACAAAGCAGAAATGTGATTGCTGAGTCCCAGCTCCAGCATCTCATAGTAGAAAGCAGAACAGTGGATTTAGAGCTGAGAGACAATAACTCAACAACTGGGATGGGTGCTTTTATAAAGCATTAGAAGAAAGAGGTGAACTTAGGTGAGAATTAGCTGGTTTTCAAGCAGAGATGGAAGGGAAATAAAGTCCAGAGATAACGGGTCTTTCAGAATCAGAAAAACTGCTCCTAGAAAACAAATAGTATAAGACTGAAAAAGGTCTTGAAAGATGTTAACACCTGTAAGGCAAATATCAGCTGAAGAGTGTGGCCTTCTCTCTTATCATTTCACATGACTTTGGTGTAGCCATCATTACATTAAGAGTGAGATGGGAGGGGAGTGCCTGGGTGGCTCATTCAGTTAAGTGTCCAACTCTTGATTTTGGCTCAGGTTGTGATCTCAGAGTTGTGAGATCAAGCCCCGGGTCAGGCTCTGCACTCAGCGTGGAGTCAGCTTGAGATTCTCTCCCTCTCTCTCAGCCTCTCCCCCCACTCACATGCACTTGTGCTCTTTCAATAATTTTTTTTTTTAAAGAGTGAGGCAAGAAGTGTCAAAGCAAATAAATACATTAGCTTGATAATTCTATCTAGGAAAGAACTTGAGAGTGGTTAGTCTCACATGCATCTGGAAGCAAACAGAGCAAAAACCTGTTGTAATAATTTTGCAGTCAGTCTGGCTAAGCCAGAATACACAGATATGTGGTCAGATATTATTCTGGATGTTTCTGTGAAGGTATTTTAAAGGTGAGATTAACATTTTTAAAAATATTTTTTAAAAGATTTTATTTATTTATTCATGAGAGACACAGAGAGAGGCAGAGACATAGGCAGAGGGAGAAGCAGGCTCCTCACAGGGAACCCGTTGTGGGACTCCATCCCTAAACTGGGATCACGCCCTGAGCCAAAGGCAGAGGCTCAACCACTGAGCCACCCAGGTGTCCCTAAAATATTTTTTAAAGTAATCTCCACACACAACGTGGGGCTCCAACTCATGACCTCAAGGTCAAAAGTCACATGCTCCACCAACTGGACCAGCCAGGTGTCCCATAAGATAAGGTTAGACTAACATTTATTTTATTTTTTTTAAGATTTTATTTATTTATTCATGAGAGACACAGAGATAGAGAGAGGCAGAGACACAGGCAG